TGGTACCAGTCCTTTTTTGTGATGGGTTTTTTCGAGATAGGGTCTCATGAACTGTTTGCCCAGGCTGGTTTTGAACTTTGATCCTCCTGATCTCTGCCTCCTGAGTAACTAGGATTATAGGCATGAGCCACAGACACCTGGCTCTGTAGCCACTTCTTTTTGCTGTCTTTTCTGGGCTATTTCTGGAGACAGGATTTCCTAGTCACATTTTATAGTTCAAATTCCAGTTCTGCCACTTAATCTCTCTTTTGTCCACAGGAAAGTTACTTAAACGCTTTACATCTCAGTTTGCTCATGTGAAATAGAAATAAGGCTAGTGCTTACTTCATCAAATACAATGTCTAATACACTAAAAAATGCTTATGTGCTATTTCCCCCCGTTTCACCAATGTAGAATTTGGATGCTTAGCAGTTAATGTATATGAGATTATTCAGCTAATAAGAGATGGAATCAGGATCTTGTTCCAAAGTCACCTGACATCAAAGCCCAGAATTTTATAGCATTTCTTCCTCTTTGGAGAGCTATGAATGGTTTCACATGTTTGAACAACCCTTGGCTACATGCTCCTAATAAATGCTCCTAATCAATAGGAGTGGGCCATCAGCTTAGGGTCTTTTATGAATTAAAGTTTTCAGTGGTTTTTAAAATTCAGAGACAAAAAATTGTTGCTCACTTTAAAGATTTATAACCACCTGAACTTTAAGGGGCTTCTTGGTCATATTCTCCCCCACTTTGTAGAAGTGGGGGAAACTCCACTTTTGCCACTCGTTCCTACTAGTCCCCAAGATCCCTATCCTTTTGTTGGGAAGAGACCTCCTGTCCTGGAGAGTGTTTCTGCATGCCCCTAGTTGAGGAACAAGTGGACCCAATGGCTTCACCATTGGGAGGACAAGGACAGCCCCTCCTGTTCAGGTTCACCTAAAAGATCACCTCCACTGTGCCTATGCCCCAGTCCTTGAGGAAGGTAGAACAGGCCAATGGGTTACTCAAGCACCACTTAGCCAAACTGGCCCAGGAAACACATCTTCCCTGGCCCAAACTCCTGCCCTTGGCTGTCCTCTGCCTCAGAAACACCCCGGGGAAGCTGGGTATTACCCCTTTGAATCTCTTTATGGCCATCCGTTTCTCACTAATGACCTCACTCTGGACAGTGAAACAGCTAGACTTACCTCCCATATCACCCAGCTAGCTAAGTTCCAACAAATCCTAACCAAGTTACACCAAGGCATCTCTCATGTCCCCTCTTCTTCTCCACTCTTTTGCCCCAGTGACTTGGTGCTTATTAAAATTCCTCATGTATCCAGGGAGCCTTCAGAGCCCCTATGGGAGGGGCCACACCCGGTGCTGCTTTCCACCCCAACATGGGTCCGAATGGCTGGACGGGAATCTTTATCCACATCTCCAGAGTCAAGCTCTGGAACCCCTCAAGAGACTCTTCTCAATCTTTATCCACATCTCCAGAGTCAAGCTCTGGAACCCCTCAAAAGTCTCCAACTCAGATGAAGCGCAGTACTCCTGCGAGCCTCTAGAGGACCTCCAACTGCTCTTCAGGAAGGCCCCTCAGGATAAGTGACCTTGTCTGCCTTCTCCCCTGGGGCCTCACATTCTTGGGATAGACAACCATGAGGCTCACCACGACTCTCCTCTACACACTTAAACTCTTCCTTTTCAGTGTGGCCCTCACCCAGCCACCCCCATTACTGAATGTTTTAAAACCGCCTACATTGGGAGCTCCAGACATTCTTACTTTACATTCTACACCCACCAACCAAATGGATGTTACTTGGGCAAATATACCCCTCAGGTTTGCATACACTCTGGTAAGCAGTACTGGAAGTCCTGGAGTTTGGGAAACAAAGCAGGCAGTATTTGCAATGGGAGGTTTGAAGAATGATTCTGTTGGACTTATCTGGACACTGGGGAGTGTCAGACAGTGGACAAGTCCAGGACTTAGTCCAAGAACAGCTTGTTAAAGAGACAATAAAAAACTTCTGCCCCAACCAAAGCCAATGGCCACTGAAGGCCCTGGTTTATACGATGAACTCAGGGGTGAGATAGGGAGAGGGTTAGAGCTCCCGGCAATAGAAAAGAATCTCTTCATAGACCTGGCGGAGAAAATTGCCAGAGAACTAAATGTCTCAAATTGTTGGTTATGCATTGGTGCCCTCATGAGTGAGGAGTGGCCTTGGAAAGGGTCTAGTTTAAATGCTTACCATCTTCTATTATGCAGTCAAGGAGAGTGACTGTCCCCATGCCTGTATGCTCATATCAGAAGTGATTGGGGAGGAATGTCTCCGAAGAACTGGACCCACATATGACAGGTACTCTCTCACAATGAGACAAATCTAACCTGGTGGCCCAAAAAGCCTACCTGGTGCTGGGCATTTTCCCCAAGGAATAATGGCTCCCAATGGTACAAATCTCTAACCAACCATAGCCTCTTAAGTTGCTCTACTACTAACAAGACAAATCCATTTTGAGGTATCCCTGAGATCGGCAAATATTGGGATAACCTCACCAGCACTGCCCCAGGGTGGTGGAAAATGCCAGATGGGTTATTCTGGATATGTGGACAATGGGCCTACTCCAGACTCCCTCCCACTTGGGCAGGAAGTTGTACTATAGGGATTGTCCAGCCTGGATTTTTCCTTTTGCCCAGTTTCCAAGGAGAACAACTAGAATTCCTTCTCTTTGAAACCCTGGGGACTAGAACAAAGAGAAGTCTTAGCATAGGGGGAAATCAGAGGTGGGGAGAAGACAAATGACCTCCTCCGAGGATCACTGAGACCTACAGACCAGCCACTTGGGCACAAGATGGGTGTTGGGGTTACCGGACTCCCATTTACACACTCAATCAAATCATTAGGTTACAAGCAGTGGTAGAAATTTCACCAACCAGACTGCTTCTGCTGTAGAATTACTGGCCAGACAACAGGACCCAAATGCCTGCCACTGTATATCAAAACCGCCTGGCCTTAAACTGTTTTCTAGCTGAGGAAGGGGACTTAGGTGGCAAATTCATCCATTCAGACTGCTGCCTTCAAACTGATGACAAAGGACAAACAGTAACAAAACATCGCCACTAATATCAGAAAAAATCGCATGTCCCCGTACAAACTTGGGAGGGGTGGCTAATGATTGGCTTGGTGGCTGGTTCTCATGACTGTTGCCTGTCCTGGGACCCACTGCTGTTATTGGAGCTGTCCTGCGCTTTGGTCCATGCCCCCTAACCTCCTCCTGTGTTTCATTTCTTCTCGCCTAGACTCCATTAAACTCCAAATATTACTCTGCACCCACCCTTACTACCGTGGATCTTTGGACACCCCCTCGGGTTTGGATCCCTGACTCCTGCTGGGGCCCTTCTTTGCCCCCTCTCAGCAGGGAGTAGCTAAAGACTGGATCTTGACGTCCCATCTCTCTAATGCAGTTAGGGGCTCCAACCCATAGCGGGGATTTGTAGCAGCCTCATAACATAAATCAGCTCCTTGACATTATAGGAATGCAGAGGAAGCAGCTCAGCCAGAGGACCAGGAGGTACAGGAGGCCAAGAATGGACGAATAGGACTCCACTAGGAACTGTTCTTTAGGTTAGAGCGGAAGCCTTATATTATATATGTATATGTATATACACATATACATACACATACACATACACACAAGTATATATATGTATAAAACACACCACTCCAACGCTCAGGGAGCACCCGGTTTCCGGACCGGCTGTTCGTCTCTCCACTCAGCCTTTCTCTATCAATAAAGTTGCTTTCCTGCCTGTAACTCCAGTGCTCCAGCCTCTTATTCCTAAGGGTGTTTTGAGAGGAACCCTTTAGCGCATCCGTGGATTCCCCTGTGACATCTTGGTGACACCAAAAAACCAAAACAAAAAAACCCTCTCCAATTTTTTTTTTTTTGAACTGGGGATTGAATCCAGGACCCCCTGCTTGCTAGGCTGGTGCTCTACCATTTGAGCTATACCCCCAGTCTTTATGGTCTTTTAAAATTGCTTTGTATTTTAAGATAGGGTCTAGGCTATCTTTGCCCTTGCTGACCTCAAACTTATGATCCTCCTGCTTCTGCCCCAACCTGAGTACCTGAGATCACAGATGTTTACCACCACACCTGTCTACAAAACTCTCAAATCTTGAATCAGCAACCCCTACTGGCTAAAAATAAATTTTAGGTGCCTTATGTGAATCCAAACTCATGTCATGGAAGGGAACAGAAACTCCTGACCGTTGCATCAGAGAGTAAGTGTAAAGCCCTTCCTTGTCTTACACAATTTCTTAAACTTACCTTGTGACCTTTGCTCTGAAACTTTGCTGCGGTACTTCCAACGCCTTGGACTGCAAACCTTGGACCTTCTAAAAAGTCTACTTCATCCCCCTAAAAGCGGAGGTAAAGTAAGGCCCAGTTAGACTATTTGTTTCAAAACTAATTGTTGCCCAAGCTGTGCTCCTGTAGTTTCTATTACAGCGTTTATGCCCCCGGGAATGTCATTTGACTATGTCAGGTTCCTTGCCTTGAACTCGTAATCATTGGTAACTATGTGTTTAGTACTCAGCGCGAGTGGAGGTTAGACATTTAAAAGTCTTCAAGAAGTGCGTGTAACTGGAACGAACGCATGCGGCGGAAAGGCACAGAAAGAGTGGGCCGCAAGTTTTATCCTAAAGTTTTAGGGAACGATGACAGGACCCTCAAATAGCAAGGAACGTTGGCTCTAAGCTCACCCGCCTCTTATTACAAACTTCCCATTCACTAGCTGCTTCTCCAGCATTCCTTCCTCAAACCCAGATTGTCTGGCCAATTAGAGAGCAGTCATCCGCAGTTGCGCGGATGGCCTCAGCCAATGAGAGATCGGGGCGCTTTGGTGGGGGGTGAGACTTGCTGCCAATTGGTGGAACGCTGGAGGCCTAGGTGAAGCGGTTGGGCAAGACTGAAGCTTGACTGGCAGGTGAGCAATCCACTGCGTGAAGACAGAAACGCAGCCAGTCATCGGAAAGTAGGCGGGGCCGTGAGATTAGAATTATCCAATGAATCGCGCACTACGCGCTGAGAGAACGGTCAATCACCAGTGGCGCACGGATACGGAGCCAGGGGCGGGGTTTTCCTCCAAAGTGCTTTAAGTGCAACGTCTCGTAGTGCAGTCTTCGTGGTCACAGCCGGCGTCTCCCCCTTGTTTCATTCATTCTTTTTCATTCAGGAACGTAGTGAGGCCTAGTGGAAAGCCATGGAGAGCGCTCTGCCTGCTGCCGGCTTCCTGTACTGGGTGGGCGCTAGCACCCTGGCCTACGCGGCCCTGCGCATCTCGTACTCGCTCTTCCTGGCCTTTCGGGTCTGGGGTGTGGGTAACGAGGCAGGGGTTGGCCCGTGGCTCGGTGAATGGGCAGGTGAGTCGGATGCAGCGCCGCGGCTGGCGACCCGGCCCGCAGGGACCGGCGTCCGGCCCGCGCTCGGCCCTTTCCCCGCGGTGCCCCTGCCCCTCCCGTCCTCGCGCCCCGCGTCCTCGCCCTGCCGCCCGTGGCCATCTTCGGGCTTGCTTAGACTGGTCGCGGAGTTTTAGAAGTCTGCATTCCTGGGTGAGGTCAGTGCAGCGTGCTGGGCGCTTTCACCCCCTGGCTGGGGCTTGGCGTCCCTTGAGGCTTAACGGGTTGGTGACCCTTGTGAAATCCTCCTTGGTCCGCTGCCCCTCGTGAATGTTTTTCAGGTAAAGTTTTTCGCTTGCTTTGGAAACTGCTTCTGTGCGAAGGATGAGAAGCAGTCTGCTGACCTGTGAGGGGTGGGCATGGGAGAAGGGATGGAGGGACCGCTCCAGTCACCTAGTTAGTGTAATTTACCAATCCTTGCCCCCAAAAAACAAAAAACAAACTCGCTAAACTCTTCTGGGGTCCTAAGCGGTAGCAGGAACTCAGTATTGCTTCCTAAAACACGGTGACTCTTCGGATTGCACTCAGAAATACTTTTTTTTTTTTTTTGGAAAAGGTTGTAGGACAAGGTGTCACCACCACAAATGCGCCGGACACGTGGGTCTTGTTTCATCCAGTATCCAGTTGGTGGATTTTAAAAATGGAGGACAAAGGTCCCGTTGGAAAAAGTGGAGAAAATTACCGGTGTTTGGCCCCTCGCTCTTTCCTCCTCCTGTTTTTTGTTTCTTTTCTTTCTCTCGCTCCTCTTTTGACTTTTTTTATTTTTTGTAAACAAGTGACTGCTTATGATAACACACTTCTGGTTCTCTGATATTGGTGATTCACTTCTCAAGCATTTTAATGAATTTTGGGGTAGTTAGCTTGCAGACTAGGCACAGGTAAGACACCCGAAAAATGTTACCTTGTGTACTTTGTTCATTCAGTTTAGGAAATACATAGAAGTTAGCCTTTTGGAGCAGCCACATCAATGTAAGGAGAGTGAGTATGAGAACTTTCTGTGTGGGTGGAAAACTGTTGACATTGTAAAATATTTTTCATGATCACTTGTTATCTTTTGATAGTCTGAAAAAACACTGTTCAACTTGGTTGTAATCAAGATTATAATTTTATAGTTGACTTGCCCATGTTCTTTGTTATCAGTATGGAAAAACTTGTTTGCATTTTTGCAACAGTTACATAAGACATGGATGTCATCAAGAATCACTTATCAAGATAATATTTTGTAATTTGGGGTGGAGTCATGACTTAAGTGGTAGAACATTTACCTGGCAAACCTGAAGCCCTGAGTTCAAACCTCAGTACCACAAAAGGAAAAAATATTGTAATCTGCAAGCAAAGGCTATTGTTAATAACTTTGTTTTGTTTTACTATTTAAAATTGACCATGCTATATATGAGTCCGTAGCAAAGAGCAACTGATTTGACATTGTCATTTCATAAGTAGCACTTGTGTTGAAAAGATTTGGATCCATGTAAAGGAAAGTTGATGCATCAGGGAAGGATTAAGAAATGAAATTTGAACTGGAACATTGGGACATCAAAGAGGATCATGGTGTCATTGTTGAAGTGAAATAGTGTCCAGTTCAATTTACCCTGGACTGTTGGAAAATCTTTCTTAAATTTATTTATTTTTGTCTGAAAGGGAGTTTGAACTCAGGGCTTGGAGCTTAAGCCTTCTACTACTTCAGCTAAACTCCTAGTCTTTTTGCTTTTAGTTTGTTTTTCAGTTAGGGTCCTGTGTTTTTGACCTGGCTAGGCTTGGACCTCCACCTCCTACTTCTGCCTCCCAAGTAGCTGGGGTTACAGATGTGAACCACCATGCTGGGCCTGCAAATCTTTCTTAAATAATAAGTGTTTAAGCAGGAGTGACCACATTGTTACTTATAACGTTGCTTGTACATAACTTGGATATTAAAATACTTTCTTAGTCTCTCCAGTTTCAGGACTCTTTCAAAAACAAATTATGATTAGTTTGTTTGAAACAAGCTCTTTGTGTGAGATATAGGAGTGATGTGAAACAATTCAAAAATCAAACTAGTGGAGGTGACACTAGAATTGTGATTAAAGTAGGTAATTCATTTAATGAAAGTTTTTAGAATTCATTTTGATACATAAATAATACTAATAAAATTTCTCCCTTATAAAATTACTGTCTTAATCTCAAGAGTGTTAATCCCTGTGCATCCTTTGAATAAATAAATATTTATGGGAGGCAGTATTAGGGAGGTGTGACCTACATTTTATTACTGATACGTCTTTAATGTCTTCCTCTCCATAACCAAGTAATGTTTTATGTACCCAGTAGTAATTTATGTTGAATCAGTAGTATATAACTACTACTGTTTCGGTGCCAGGGATTGAATCTGGGGCCTCTCACATTAAGCATGCACTCTACTACTGAGCTACAAGCCCAGCCCTTTGTTACTATTCTTAAGTTTCTTGTGTGTAATTTCTTCTCAGATTTTGGGATCTAAGGGTCCAGAGACTGTGAGCCTTCATTTTTTTGTCTCTGCCTACAATAAGTGGCACATTGTCCAGATACAATTTCTTCTAAGCTTAACAACAACAAAAACAACAACAACAAAAAACCTTGAGGAAAAACCTGAAATATAGGTATGTCTGCAGTAAGTACAAACATTTTGGGCCACAGATTCCTTAATGTAGTTAGGTTTTTAAGACCATCCTTTCTTTACTTGTCCTGTACTCTTTTTTTTTTTTTCCCTAGTTCTTTCCAATAACAGCCCTACTGAAATGAATCACCTGGTTTCACTGGGGCCTGGCAGGTGGTTTTAGCCAGATTAGAGTGTAAGACTTTTACTTGTCACTGTTATTTGGGTACTATATTTCTTAGGAGAACAAAGAGATCTTGTGAAAGTGGAGCTTCGTTTCTTTGAAGGTCAGTATAGCAAATAATCAAAGGAAATTTTTATGCTGTGTGTGGTGGTGGACACATACAGTCGCAGCTAACTGGGAGGCTGCGATCTCTTGAGCCAGTGAACCAGGGAGTTGGAGACAACCTTGGGGGAACATAGCAAGACTCTGTGGTCAAAAAATAAAAAAGAAAGGTGACTGCCAACAAAGGTTGTTGGTATACTAAATAAGAGGAAAGCCATGACTATAGAGAAATAATGAGTGTAATGTGTAGAATTTGGTTTGCCCATAGATATATTTTGCACTTACTTGAGCATTTTCCATCACTGGTGATGGCTATTGAAGTAGAGATGATAGGTGATAGACTATAGATGCAAAGGCAAGATGAATATACTTCTGAAGTCAAGATACTGATAACTTTAAACCGAAGACAATCTGAGCACTTAGTTTTAGTTTTTAATGAAGAGGATGTTGCTCCAAGTAGCAAAGAATAACGTATAGTTAGTGAATTTTTTTAATATAGCTTTATTGAGACGCAATTCATATGCTATACAATTTATTTAAAGTGTTGCGGTGGTCTGCAGCAGTGTGGTGGGTTTCTGTTATCCTGGTGGGGAGGAGGATGACTGAGAAAACACTCAGGGAACAGATTCAGACATCAGGTTCAACTTTAATGTTTAGCAGGTTCAAAAGTTTACTAGGTGTGCAAGCAAGAATTGAGGAGGTAACACAGACACCAGCCAGGCCCTAATGGTCAGTGTTTATGCAGTCGCCTCTATTGCAAACAAGGCTTTAATCACAAGTGAGCAGGTTGCTCTACTTGTTTTCAGCCAGGGCAAGTTACAATTGCCTTTAACGCTTTCCCTGCCGGACCAGTGTAGCTGCTTGCCTGGGAATCCTCCACATAAAGTGTACCATTCAAATAACAGGCATGCAAACAAAGTGTACAATTTAAGGTTTTTATTATGTACACAGGGTTGTGTAACCATCCTCAAATTTAATTTCACATTTACATCTATAAAAGAAGTCTTAACATCTATGAGCTCTCACTGCCCAACCCTTATCCATCATAGCCCTAGTCAACCACAATCTTAATTTACTGATCTGTATAGATTTGCCTATTCTGGATATAGCATATTAATGGAGTCATCAAATTTTTGGGGGGTGACTGGGTTTTATTTAGTGTAATATTTTCAAGGTGCATCTGCGTTGGAGCATGGAATCAGTACCTCATTTCTCTTTAATTGCTAAATAATTTTCTGTTCTGTGGAATGAAATTAGATTTCACAAAGGGCCTTCACCTCTGTATTTTGGCCTCTGCATATCTACATCAGCAAATTCCTAAGACATTGTGGCTTTGGGTGCTGATGGAACTGATTTGGCTCTCTAGTGTTTCAAGATTTTCCTAATTCAGTGGATAATGAGGACTTTAAAAGGACACATGGTGCTGGGATTCTCTGGTAGAGCCGTTGATCAAAAGTGTCTTCGTTAGCCAAGGTTCAGGAATAAAAGGATTCCCCAAATCACAGTTGGGACCACAACTTTTATTTTCATGTTGGATAAATGCATAGGGTTTACCTCAGATGTTCCCAGACTACTGGAGTAACCAACCAGAACCCAGTGGTGGTAGGTGCCTTTTTTTTTTTTTAAGCAAGGCTTTGAGGTATCACATGATTTGAAGAGTTACTTGTGAAATGTTTATTATTTAAATTGTCATATCCAGAAAAAATATTAATAACTACCATTTATTGAGTGTTTGAAGTGTGCCAGGCACTTGACAGAGATTACCTTTGATTTCTCTGAGCTATATTCCAAGTAGATAGAGAAAGAAACAGGTTTAAGTGAATTACTTCCCTTTTCTGTGGTTTCATAACTAGAGAATTGCAATTAGGAGTTGAAGCCAAGTCATCCATTCTGCAAGACAGGCTAACTGTGTGCTGGTGATTAACCTGCAGGCTGGATGAGTACTTGGGAGTGGATTTTTTTTTTTAATACCATAAGAACTTTATTGAACACTTCTTGATTGAAGGCATACTTTCAAATTTTTACATACTTGGTATCTCTGGAACATTGCAGGATAGTTGGTACATTTTA